AGAAAGAGAGAGAAAAAGAAAGCCACTATGTCTGGGACTTGAACCATGGTTGGCCATGTGGGAGTCCAGCACCTTAACCACCACACCACCTGATAGCCCCTTGCTTTGTTTTTTCAAAGCATGTTTCAGTCAGAAGATGGACCTGAAGCTGCAGAAGCCTCACGAAGTGTGATAGATTTTCTCCCCTCTATAGAGCCAGTCCTAGCTACTGATGATTAGAAAGTGTGGAAGAGGGGAAGCACTGGACCCCTATCCAGTCATGGGACCTGGGATCTAGGTCTTGCCCTGTCACTGAGAGTGTTTCCAGGGCTGGTCCCTTTCCCCTCTGACTCTCATCTGCAACTGAAGATGATCTATGCACTGCCTAGCATCTCTACCTCTCCCTGCTTCCTGTTAAGTCACACCAGATTATGATGGCCTGGCAAAGATTTTTCTCTCCAGTTGAATGAGGGAGTCTCAAAAATATGGGAACTCCAAGCTTCGGCACTGAGGTCCCTGGGTGTTCCAGGCCCTCAGGGACACTGTGAGTCTAACCTTTCCCCCACACCCTCTTCAGTGCAACGCCAGGGCACCTAGGCTCTGAGCCAGATCTCAGTGTTGGGTCTCCGCCTCCCACTTTTTTCCTTTTTTCAAAGAGAGATTTTTGGCAAAGGGTATGTGTACTCACTGGACAGAGAGAGAGACAGAAAGCGAGGAATCACCGCCCAGGGGGGATGACCACTCCGCAATTCCTTCTCCTCTATCTCCTCTCGGGATCTTCGGCACACACGCACACGCGCCTGGCGTGAGTTTCAAGTAGCCAGTCAGGGACTCAAACTGCAGTCGACTACTTGGGAGAACAGTCGCTACATCATCTCCTGGTCCCTCCACCTCCAGCTTCTTAACTGTGGGACTTTGGGTATGTTACTGTGGTTTTCTATCCATAAAATGGGATGACAGAAACACCTACCTGATAGGTATCTGTTGTGAGGCTCTAAAAAATTAATACATGTCAAGAGCTGAGGCTAGTGTCTGGCACAAGAAAAGCGCTCGGCAGATGTCAGGGGCTTTTACAACCGGGGGTGGGGGTGGGGGGCCGGGGGAGCAGGAAGAGAGCAGGGAAGAGGAGGGCTGGGTTCTCATCAGTCCCTGCACCCAAGGGGTTGAATTCTTCAGCCCAGGTTGCAGGCCTTCCTCTCTCCTGTAGGTGGCGCCTCCCCTCGTTGAGCGCACTTGCTGAGTCTTAGAGCGCTTGGAGGAAGTGGAGAAAAATAAGTTTTTTTTACGTCTCTGTTGTGTTTAGGTTGCTGGAGCAGGTTCTCCTGCAGCTCTCTGCAGCCCGTTTCCAGAACAGTCGGTTTAGGGGTTCCGACTTCCTTCCTGGGATGGCGTTGAATCCATGCCCCGCTACATCCCCTTCCATTACCAGGGAGCCTCGCCTGCACCCTGGTCCTGGGAGCGTTTCACAGCCAGCACCTGAGGCAGGGAGTTCAGTGGGAGTTTCTTTCCTGCTCGGTTAAAATGACAAATTGGTACATGAGCGCTTAATGAAAGATGCTGGAAACGTCCGTGGAGATCAGAAAAATCGCCTCTCTGAGCTGACAGCCAGGCCATCTGCATTCCCGCATTCCTATTAATTTCTTAACAATAAACGACAGGAGCGCCTAGAGGGTTAACAGCTTAATTTAATCTCTGAGACTCCTTCCTGGAGCACTGAGATTTAGAAAGGCATTTACGAAGCATTATCTGCACACCTGATTTTTCTGCACTTGATGTGTCTTTTCCGACCGGCCACACCCGATTCTCCGCACGGAGCTCTTCCCCTCTGGTTGAATGAATGTTCCGCACCAGACATTCTTGAGCTCCTTGCATCGCGAGACTGGGCCCCAAGTGCCACAAGATTTGGCTTCTTAGCAGTCCCCCCAGTTGCTGGTTTACATTATGGTGGAAAAGTCTCCTGAAAAGAGCTAAAAAGATGGTCCCCCTGTTGAGAGTGCACGTCCTTCCTTGGTGGGAATCCAGGCGAAAATGAAAAGAGGTTCGTAGCTCCGTAGCCAGCTTGCAGAGCCCGCCCGCGAGCCTCTGAGGGTCCCGGACTCCATGGTGGACTATTCTTTGGAGATGCCCTGGTCTAATGCCAGTGCTCTTATGTTATGGATCAGGAAACAGACCCGGAAATGTTTTCTAGTTGGGTTAAGACCATCTATAGCCAGGTAATGTCAAAGCCCCCAAATAGGATTCAGAACTCCTTACTCCTGGACAAATACCACGAGGCCTTCAACATGTTCATGGAAAATGCCTATTATGGAAAAACTATGCATGGATTAAAATTTTTTTTGGCACCAAAATAAAAACTCATACTTCAATTTCATTTTTACACAAACTTTTTGACATTCCCCAAGTATATGTTTCACAATAGATTTCATTTGACCGATACACACCTTCATCATTGGTTGGTAGAGACTACCAAGGGCAGGGAAGACTTCCCAGGCTGGTCCAGGCTGAGCAGGGAAGGCTTCAGTGACCGTTCTGAAGATGTCTTCCAGGAAGGAGCAAAGGTGCCAAGTATTTGCTCTCCCTGCATTTTTCAGCCTGTTTCTTTTGGGTTAAGGCATTTAAAAGCTCTATTAAAATGGAAATGTTATCTGGGAAGAGTAATGCATTAAGTCATTATCTGTCATTAACACCTTGGCTAGAACGCATTTAAGATTAGTTTGCTAGTTACTCAGCAGGTCCTTGAAGGAATGAGAGTTTTGACTGGGACAGGGACCTGGGAAAGGACGGGGGTCTGGGCACTGGAGGGGTGTGGTCTTTGGGGATTCAGCACAGAAGGGAATTTGAGTGAAAACACGGGCTAACAGAAAGAAGTCCACAGGGCCAAATGAAGAAGAGGAAGTGGCTCTGATGACAATTTTTTGCACAATGTCTCAGTTTTCTTTGCATAAATTGGACTTCTACCAGTCACACTGATTGATCCTCAGTGGACCTATCAAAATACAAGGTTGGACTTTATCAAGTTCTCATGCCTGTCTACACATTAAAACCACCTGGGGAGCTGATTTTTTCTTTCTTAAATGCCAGTACTGGGGTCAGGGAGTGGAGTGGTGGTTGAGGTGCTGAATTCTTCCGTGGCCAACTGCAGAGGACCCAGAGGCTTGAAACTCATGGTGTGTGCATTGTCCAAAATCCTGAGAGGAGACTGGAGGAGAGGGGTTGTCGCTTGACAACCCCCGGCGGGGAGTGATTTCTCATTTTCTCTCTGTGTGGCTCTGGCAAGGACATCACACTGATTGATCCTCAGTGGACCTATCAAAATACAAGGTTGGACTTTATCAAGTTCTCATGCCTGTCTACACATTAAAACCACCTGGGGAGCTGATTTTTTCTTTCTTAAATGCCAGTACTGGGGTCAGGGAGTGGAGTGGTGGTTGAGGTGCTGAATTCTTCCGTGGCCAACTGCAGAGGACCCAGAGGCTTGAAACTCATGGTGTGTGCATTGTCCAAAATCCTGAGAGGAGACTGGAGGAGAGGGGTTGTCGCTTGACAACCCCCGGCGGGGAGTGATTTCTCATTTTCTCTCTGTGTGTCTCTGGCAAGGACATGCGCCCTATAGCAAAACAAACAAACAAAAAAACTCTCTAAAAATAAATAAATAAATAAAGCCAGTACTTGGGTCTTACCAGGCCAATTGAATCAGAATGTCTAGTGATGGGCCTGCTCTTCCTCTCGTCCAACACTTCTCTATAGAACATTCTAGTATCAGTCTTAATAGCCAATCCTTACTGGACACTAACATATTTTACATATATACAATACCAGGTTCTGTGTAATTTTGTATTTTGAATGTATTGAAAACACGGAGGCAGGAAATGGAATTCTTAACTACAAGCCTCAACAGGAGTTTTTTACTCTCCCAGAATAAGGACAGCAGAAATCTTTTGGTTCATCAGTTGAAAAATACTGCAACTGAACAGGCTCCCTCCTTCCCTCCTCCCTCCCTCCCTCCCTCTCTCTTTTCTTTCTCCTTTCTTTCCTTCTTTCTCTCTCTTTCTTTTTCTTTCTTTCTTCCTTTCTCTTTCTTCTTTTTTTTTACCCTCAGTACCAACTCGTTGTTGCGTAGTTGTGCTAGTTACAGACATTGTGTTGGACCAGCAGGTGGCATGGCACTGGAATCCACATGGCTGACTGCACAGTTCTAGTCCTGGACCTGGTGGCTTGAAATTCATGCCCAACACGTGTGTATGCAATGCCCAAAATCCCAAGAGGAGACTGGAGGAGAGGAGATTGCAGGAAAACACGGAGGCAGGAAATGGAATTCTTAACTACAAGCCTCAACAGGAGTTTTTTACTCTCCCAGAATAAGGACAGCAGAAATCTTTTGGTTCATCAGTTGAAAAATACTGCAACTGAACAGGCTCCCTCCTTCCCTCCTCCCTCCCTCCCTCCCTCTCTCTTTTCTTTCTCCTTTCTTTCCTTCTTTCTCTCTCTTTCTTTTTCTTTCTTTCTTCCTTTCTCTTTCTTCTTTTTTTTTACCCTCAGTACCAACTCGTTGTTGCGTAGTTGTGCTAGTTACAGACATTGTGTTGGACCAGCAGGTGGCATGGCACTGGAATCCACATGGCTGACTGCACAGTTCTAGTCCTGGACCTGGTGGCTTGAAATTCATGCCCAACACGTGTGTATGCAATGCCCAAAATCCCAAGAGGAGACTGGAGGAGAGGAGATTGCAGCATGGCCACTTCCCCTGGATAATGATTTCTCACTTTCCTTCTCTCTCTTTCGGTTTCTCTCTCTTTCTGGTGAGCACATGCACCTTATAGCAAAAACTACCAAAAAAGGAAGAAAGAACGAAAAGAAAGAAAGAAAGGAAAAGAAAGAAAAAAAGAAATTGAGTCCTCACACAGCTGTGTTCCTAACGCGGAGAAAGGGTAGGAAGTGTATGCATACTCATCCTTTTAACTAGAAGAAAAATGTCTCCAGATACCTTGCAGTACACATTCTAGTACCTTCCACCGGGTCATATGGTCACCCTTGGTTACAAGGGAACCTGTGAAAGCAAGAATCTGACATTTTCAGCCTCTTCCGTGAGAGGCACCTCTTCCAGGAGTACATTTGATAAGCTGTAAGTACACAGGAGAGGACGCAAGACACAGTTAAAATCCATAACAACAGCAACAGCTACAGACGTAAATGTAGCTGCTGCTTTATATACTACTTCCTTTATCAGCTAAAGCTATTTTCTTCTTATCTGTGGTCCTACCTCCTGAGACCACATCCTCCTACCAAGTAGGAAATATCAAAGAAGATCAAGGCCATTTAGGTGTGTTTTGTTAACCTGTGCTGTGACTATAAATGTCTTTTTTTTTTTTTAAATGCCAGAGGGCACATACAAGAAAGAGAAAGAGAGGGAGAGGGAGAAAATTGTCCTTGTCCTCCATCAAGGGACCTGATGGTGCCACAATTCTTTTCCCTCTAATTCTCCATTCATGCAGGACCCTGGGCACATGTCATGTACCCAGTGTGTTTTCTAAGAGGTCAGGGCCATGACTCGACCTCTGGTCAAGCATGGGATCCAATTTCCTCTGAGGAAGCTTAACTGCTATGCTACAGGGCTCGCCCTGTAAATACCCTTTGAAGGTCAGACTCCTGTCTTCTGGGATCTGATTCCTCCACCTGATCTTGCAAACCACCCTTGCTGTGTTTAGACCTTCATCATACTCTTGAACAAGGGAGACCACCCACTCCCTGGCATCGGCCTTCATCTCCAGATCCTTCTACCATGGTGTTTGTCTGACCTCGATATCTGCAGAGCTCTGCAGTGATTCTGTCTCTCTGGCAGACAAACTGGGTTCTGCCATGGGGTGTGAGGCCCAGCCGGGGTGGTGCACACTGCCAAGAGGCTGGGACCACATGGGAGGCCGGCCTTGGATTTTGGCTGGGGTTGGAGGGTGGCACACACCTGCAGTCCCAGTTGGGAGGGTGAGGCAGGAGGATCCTGACACCCTGAGACTTTGTACTTAAAAAAAAAAAAAAAGAAAAAATCATGAGGACAATCATAAGCTGAATATGTATGAAACAAAGCAAATGTGTAAATATTGAGGGTATGCCAAACAAAGGAGGTTAATAAAATCAGGGCCAGTTCCTGCAAAATCTGATGTTTATAATAATGGCCTTTGGGTAATGGGTTAATATCCTTAATATATAAAGAGTTTACATAAATAAGGAAAGAAAGGACAAATATTGCCAAAGAAAAATGGGTAAAGAATAGGAAAGTAATTTGCAAAAGAAAAATATAAAAGGCTGATACATGCATTTCAAAAAGATTACTCTTACAGATAATCACATAAATATTAAAATATCATACTATTTTTGCCAAATTGACTAAAGTTTAAGAAAGTTATTTTAAAAATAGGGACCAGCAGGTGGCATGGTGGTTAAGGGTAGTGGACTCCCACATGGCTGACCACGGTTTGAGTCCTGGACCTGGCAGCTTGCTTTCTCACTTCCCCCTCTCTCTCTCCGTCTCTTTCTCTCTCACTCTGTCCCTCTCTGGTCAAATTAAAATAAATAAATAAAGTCAAATAAAAAATAATTCTAAAAAAATTAAGTTTTTAAAAATAATATTATTTAATAACTGGATAAGATTCATTACCACTTGATCTCCAGTGCTACTGTTTCTTTTTTTTTTTTCATATAAAGGGCATGCGCTCACCAGAGAGAAAGAGAGAGAGAGACAGAGAGACAGAGAGAGAGACAGACAGACAGAGAGGAAGGGAGAGGAAATGAGAAATCACTTCACAGGGAGCATGGCCATGCCATCCCGTCTCCTGCATTCTCTTTTGGTATGTTGGGCATGCACACACACATGCCTGGTGTGATTTTCAACTTGCTGGGTCCAGGACTAGAACCATGAAGTTGGCAATGCGGGATCCAGTGCCTTAACCTCCATGCTACCTGCTGGCCCTCTGGTATGCTATTTTGTATTCCAGAGTCTGCAAGTTAAATCCTACATTTTCTATACTCCCTTATAGCTAAGATTCTGGATATGAATGTGGTTCTACTGATTAAAATAGAAGCAGTCTTCGGAGATTCAACTGATGATGTCCACTGCTGTCCAGAAGTGAGAGCCATGACTTTTTTTGGTTAGACCCATTAGCTTGCTGCACTTATGACAAGTAACAGGCTTCACAGTAACTAACAGTACGTGGGGTTTTAAATAAGTCAAAAACAAGTTTCCTATATGCTAGCTAGCACAGGGAAATAAAGAATTTAGTCCCGATACTGGCTCTGGGTTTTATGGCCATGAACAGGTCACCTATTTCCTGAGTCTCAGTTTCCCCATCTGTCTAGTGAAAGAGACTTACTAGATGACTCCTGTCATCTCTGACAGCCTGGCCCCATGCCAAGAAAACACCGTGTTGGCTTCTCCTGGGGGGAAAACGTCAGGCAGGTGACTCTTTCCTGAAGTTCAGTGGGGAGGCCCGGGCTCCTCTGACTGATCAGAGTTTGTTCCTTGGTCAACTCATTTGGCCACAGTAGGGACAACAGGTACTACCAGCATTTATATCTATGTGCTTTGCCAGTTTTTAAAAATAGAGTTACTAATTTATTATTATCATTCATTTCTAATCCACTAGAGAGAGACAGAGAGAGGGAGACAGGAAAAGTGAGAAAGCAATCTGCAAGTCCAGGACTCAAACTGCAGTTGGCTATGTGGGAGCCTAGTGCCTTAACCGCTTAGCCACATCACCTGCTGGCCCCACAGTTTTATTCCTGACTCTTCTATACAGTAAATGGCTTTAGCGGTCCTCGGGTAGAGGTCCTTAAAACTCTCCTGTTAGCTGTTTCCCAACTCCCACCCACCATGAAAGTGACACAGTGTATTCACCACTAGACATGGCCACATTAAGTCAAGGAATTGTTTCTAGTTAAAGTAAAAACACATTTTTGGGACCAGCAGTTGGTGTAACGACTATGTCGTTGGACTCCTATGTAGTTGACCGCAGTTCAAGTCCCAGACCCAGTGGCTTAAACTCACGCTGGGAGTGTATATGTGCATGCCCAAGATTCCTGAGAAGAA